GAGAAACTGGATCTTCAGAACAAGCTTAGGCCAAGTAAATAGAAAAAGAGGGTAACAGCAAAAATAAAAGTACGTGCTGTATCTGGGAAAGAGTGGACTATCATAAAAACCAGCTGTCTTTTTATTTTTCCTTTTGTCTTTTTGAGATAGGGTCTCTCAATGCAGTTTCAGAGTAGGCTGGGACTCACTACTTAGCCCAGGCTAGCTTTAAACGAACATGCAGTAATCCTCCTGCCTCACCCTCCAGATACATTGCCCTGGATGGATGTCTTTCTTTTATTTTGTCTAAATCTCAAGGAAATCCAGGAGAACTTCTACATCTGGGTCCTGAGAGGAGGTGCTGGTATTCCATGCCTCAGGTTGACCTAAGTTCTAGGCCATCCTATTGAAATTCTCTGCCCAAATTCTCTGGAGAAGTGGAGGGCTTTAAGAATCATTTTGTGCATGAGTTCAGAATCTTGTGATTAATGCTAGGATTATTTTCAAAAGATGAAAAATATTTCCAAAAGATGAGAAGTATAAAATAAAAAGCGGCCTTTATTCTGAGAACACGGGGATGACCGGCACCCCCACCGCTGGTGTCCGGCGATCTCTCCGGCGGACACGTGGCGTGGGGGCATGTAAATAGCCTCAGTTTGGGGTGGGACCTAAGGTGGGCATTAGGGATGCACAGGTAGCCCACTGGTCCTAGGTTTGGCGCCATATGTAAATTTCCAGGGGCGGGAAGATGGCGTCACAGGTAACTTCCTACGGGCAGGGGAGATTGGGGCTTCCTGCTTCCGGTTGTGGCTTTCCTAGCTACAGTGTCCTATCTGGGCCAAAACCCTTTCAATTAACAGCTCAAGTCTACTTCCCAAACCAGCTTTTGCCATGCCCTAATCTCCTATCTCACTAGGTCAGAGGAAGGTTGCAGCAAAGGACAGTCAGCATAAAGGAAAGGCCGTTCCCAGTTCTGGCTGGCAAAACTAGTAGCCTACTTCCATGAAGCTTGTCCATTTTGGAGTTTCCAGACTGATGTATAGGATTTTAGAGAGACCAAGGTTCCTACAATCTTGCAGCTAGGGTGTAACAGGGAGCCTGGGGAGGTCTGGGAAAGTGGTATGAACAGTAGTATGGTTTACCAGAGTTGGCTTGGGAGACAAAAATGACAGGCTTGCTAAGGTATAAAGATAGAAAGCACATCAGTGGTTACCTGGTGAACTGGGTGAGAATGGGATGTGAGCTAAAAAGGGTTATGAGAAACTTGTGTCTTACTGAGTATATGCTCAACTTGTAGGTGAGCCTGGCAAAGGATAGAAATTCAGTAAATATCTGCTGAACAAATGAGTGAATGTTTCTACTTTGTATTACAGCTTTATCTTTATATTTCTTTGTCCTTCACCAAACATAGTGTTGTCCGGCTAAGGAAAAATCAAGTTTAAAACAAATCTCTGAATCGTACAGCTACCTGACCCTCACCAGTGCCTATCAAACACTGTAACAAAGTACATATCAAATTTTGTTGAATTAATTTGAGTTAGGCAGAAATACGTAAGAATGGAAGCAATGTGATCTGCGAACAGAATCTTGGGTTCTCAGGTGAGCGTAGTTTTCACTACTTCTGCTAGAATCAGCAGCCTCAGGCTCCTCTGGGCTATTTGAGGCTCCATTTGTAGCTGCTGTTTGTTAATCGTTCAAGTAAAGTTTCAGAAAGTGTATTTATTCTTTTGATTTTCAAAAGATCTTTTTAAAATTTTATTTAAAGAAAAAAAAACAAAACAGAAAAGGGTACAAGTAATACAGAATTTCAAAAAAAGTAAACAGTAAGAGATCACTAGATAATAGATTACATATTGTCATCTTAGAAATAGTTGTTCAAGTTACAAAATTAAAGCATATAAAGTAGACATTCAAATAGTGAGACTGCAAACAGTTCTGTTCAATGATCTAACAAAAACTCAGTAGTATGGTCATCTTACACACCTAAACACACTTGCAGTTGTATCCTTTAGAGCACATTCTTTTCCTCTTTTTTACAATAATGTTTACACATTTTAGATTTTATTACTCCCACAGTTCTTATTACTTTTTTTGGAAGAGAATAATACCAAATGTGACAAAACAAAGCAGTCAGTCAAAACAAAGGATTGACATAGTACATGGTGTAAAAACAGAATACAAGGTCATCAACAATGGCTACCATAATGCCTCTTGCTACCTTCAAAAGAATTGCCTATATCATTAAGTATAATAAAATTGAACAAAACAGTACAGAACAAAACCAATAAAACCTAAACATTGGAGACATTACTGAACTTCAAAAGAAGATAATAGTCAAACCAGAATGGGCACCATAGTGAATCTTATTGCCTTCAAAGTAGTTGCCTATACCCTCAAACTTGATACTATCAAACAGAACACAATAGAGTAAAATCAGTCAAAACAAGATGGTGAGAGAATACAGGGCTTCAAATCAAGTTAATAGGGAATCAAAAAAGTTACTATAGGGGCTGGGGATTTAGCTCAGTGGCATAAGCGCCTGCCTTGTAAGCAGGCAGTTGTGAGTTTGATCCCTGGTACCAATAAAAAGGAAAAAGGCAAAAAAAAAAGTTACTATAATATATCCTGCTAAATTAAAAAAAATTTCCCTTAATTAAAAAAATAATAAAATTTTTTTAAAAGGAGGAGATTGAGATAAAGGAGGACATAACAATATAACAATACAGGTCAGAACAGAACAATTTAAGCAACATAATGTTTCACCACAGGATAACCTGACTTAATAGTAGTTACCATAGTGTCTCTTTCCTTGAAATATTTGAGTATAACTTCGTATACTATAGCATCAAACATATCAAGACAGTGTGAAACCATTCAAGAGGATGAAAGTATTACAGGGTATTTAGAACCAACTAACAGAAAATGAACAATGATTTCTATATTATCTCTTTGTCTATAAAAATTTTTTATACTATCACATATAATAAAATCCAATAAGATACAACATGATAAAAGCAATGGAGACAGAAGGAAAACAGTTTGATGGGACTTTAAAACAAGATGATATTGAATCAGCACTAGCTGTTATGATGCCTTGTTTTCTTCAAAATAGCTGTTCCTATCATCAGAGACAATAATATCAAACAGCCCAGAATAAAACCATTCCAATTAATCAGTAAAAATTTTATAAGCCTTCAAAGCCATATAATGGGGAATCATGATTACCACATACTTTTATATATTTGTATCATTTCTTACACTAGGGAAACTATTCAGTATTCATACATGTGAGTTGGATTTATTTCACTTATGAGTATGGTCTCAAGCTGCATCCATTTATTTATAAATATCTCAATGTGATCCTTCTTTATAGCGAGTAGTACTCCACTGTAAAAAATACCACAACTTTTTTGTCCATTCCTCAGTTGATGGACACTTAGGCTGTTTCCAAGATCTGGCTATTACAAATTGTATTGCTATAAACATGTGTGCACATATATATATCACTGTGGTTCATGTTTTCAGTTCCTCTGGGAATATGCCTAGAAGAGGAGTAGCTAAAACAAATGCGACTTTCAATCCCAGGTTTCTGAGAAATTTCCAGACTGACCTCCACAATGGTTGCACCAGTCTACACTCCCACCAACAGTGTAGGAGAGTTCCTTTTTACCCACAGCCTCTCCAGCATTTGTTGTTGGTGGTTTTCTTGATCCTGGCCATTCTTTCAGGAGTGAGATGGAATCTCAGTGTGGTTTTAATTCGCATTTCTCTAATGAGTAATGATGATGAACATTTTTTCATGTCTTTATTTGCCATTTGTATTTCTTCATCTGAGAAGTGTGTATTCATCTAAGATGCCCATTTTTAGATTGGATCTTTGAATTTTGGGGGTCTGATTTTTTTAATTCTTTATATGTTTTAGACAGAAGTCCTTTGTCTGAGGGAGAGTTCACTATGAATTTTTTCCAGTTTGAGGGTTTTCTTTTCACTATGCTGGAGATTTGATTTGACATGCAGAACTTTTTAATAAGAGGTGATTCCAGTTATTGATTCTGGAAAGTATTTCCCCTGCAGTTTGAGTCCTGTTCATGAATTCTCTAACCTACCCCTATGTCTTCAAGGTTTTGACCCAATTTGTCTCCTAATAGATTTAGTGTTTCTGTTTTAATATTCAGATCTTTGATCCATTTAGATTTTAATTTAGTATACGGTGATAGGCATGGGTCTACCTTTAGTTTTCGGCATATGGAGAGCCAGTTTTTCCAACACCACTTATTAAAGAGACTGTCATTCTTCCAGTAAAACTGTTTGGCCTCTTTATCAAAGATAAAGTGGCTGAGTGTGTTTGTAGTTGTGTTTGTATATTCTAATCTATTCCATTGATCTTCAGCTCTGTTTTGATTCCAGTACCATGTTGATTTTACTACAGTTGCTTTGTAGTATAACTTCAAGTCAGGGATTGTGATGCCTCCTAAAGATCTTTTATATAAAATAATTATATATCTTTTTTGGCAGTGCTTGAGATTAGACCCAGGGTATTCAAACTGAGTTGCATTCCCAACTCTCATTTTATATTTTTTATTTTGAGACTGGGTCTTATTAAGTCCACAAGTTGCCCAAACTGGCTCCAACTTGTGATTCTCCTGCTTCAGTCACCCAGAGTACTGCGGTTACAGGAGTGTACCTCTCTGCCCATCTATACTTATATATCTTTTTGGTGTACAGTGTAATGTTTTGATATATTTATACATTGTGTTTTTAAAAATTAATTTATCCCTTTAATTTTAACGTACATAAAACATGAAAATGTTACATGTTTACAGGGCAACAGAGGATGTTTCTATGCATCTATACAGTGTGGAATGCTTAAATCAGGGTAAAAAGCATTTATCATTGCTGAAAACTTTCAAAATTCTGAATGTCTTTCTTATGTGGAGTCCACTGGCAACAATAAGCTTTATATATTTCTCTGGGTGGACAATTGGCAAAGAAAGAACAATTTTATCCTTTATTTCTTTTAGGAGCTGAATATGATGATCAGACCAGCCAAAGGGAAAAAGAAGATGATAAAGTCTTTCCTGGTGAGAGCCATACTTATGTCTGGCAGGTCTCAACAGAGAATGGTCCAATGGCCTCTGACCCACAATGTCTCACCTACTCATATTTATCTCATGTGGACCTGGTGAAAGACTTGAACTCAGGACTCATTGGAGCTCTGCTGGTATGCAAAGAAGGTATGCACAACAAAGGGTAGGACTGAGAGGAAATACGCAGAGAAGTATAAAGAGAATTATTGATAGCTATGTTATTTCTTCTGAAAGATGTTTCTTTCTCCTAGCATTATGTCCATGGGAAGAAAAAGAGTCCAGTTACTGGGAGGAGCAGACTTCTATCCTGGGTAACCCCAGTGAACTCTAAATTGAACTCAAGAGCAGCCAGGATCCAGAATATATGTCTGTTTGCAAAGAATTGCTATTTTCCACTTCAAATCTGTGGGCTATCTAAATTAGTATTTTCATTGTCCTTTGCCTTTCGCAAATTTTGAGCTATGCTCCTTGAATGTTTCAGAATGGAAGTAAAAACATTCAAGTATGTGATAAGTGGCACATAGACTAGCTAGTGTGCTGTTTGTAAGCTGAAAGTGTATAAAAACCTGAGGAAAGTAAGCACTAATTTGTAACTTGAAAGATTATTCTAAAAATAATCTTAATTTTACTTAATCTCTTTTAAATTTATAGATTAACAGAATAAACTAAACTAGGAAGCAAACTTTATGTAATTTTATTTTAACCCTATTTTTGTGCTAGAGTCAGTTTTACTGCAACATTTTTGTTCTAGTTGTCCACTGTGAATAGCCATACCATTTAGTGGTTAAAATTCAGTGATTTGTCATGTTTTATAATTTTTGGGTCTCATAGAATTTGAAAGTGTATTGTGCCTGAGTTTTTTTAGAGGTCAGAGCTGAAATCATCTCAAAGGTGACTTTATTAGTATGTTTGTTACCTGGGCTTGAAAAACTCAAATAGTTGGCCATCTCTCCACAGTATTGCTCTAGCTTAGATGCTATAGGATGTTTTCAAGTGAGAGCCTATCAGACATAATACCACTTTTTCTAATGCAACTCGGAAATCACACAACTTCACTTCTGTCACATTCAGCTAGAACGCTTCATTAATGCTAGTATGTAGAATGGGACTCAACTTTCAACCTATGGAGGATAAGCAAAGAATTTGTAAACATGAGCTGGGTGTGGTGGCACATGCCTATAATCCTACTACTGTAGGAGACTGAGGTAGGAAGATTGCAAGTTTGAACCCATCCATCCTGGGCAACTTGGTATTTTAACAGGCTTCCACATGTTTTTTAAATATTTAAAAGGGCTGGAGATATATTTCAGTGCTAGCCTCGCAAAAAAGAGAATTTACAAACATAAATCAACATACCTTTCTGAATAACAATGATAGATGTGCTTCAAAACCACAAAGACAGGAAGGAGTCTAGAAGTATTTGTAGTTTGTAAAGTTGTATTTGGTTTAGTTTCGTAGCCATAATTCATAACTAATTGCTAAAACTCTATAGCCTGTTATGTGTGTGATGTAATGGCCAGTGAAGTCATCAAAACAAAAGCATTTACATGTGACATAAAATAAATATGCTTAAAACCAAAATAATTTCTTGACAGGGAATTGAATTAAAATGTCAAAAGGGGATCTAGTTATGGCTAAGATAGAGTAAACATATTCTACTCCTAGGAAACAGGGATTTAGCTCAGCTGCATAAGTGGCTGCCTGGCAAGTATGAGGTTATGAGTTTGATCCACGGTACCAAAATCAACCAAACAAAAAACATATTGTACTGTTTTCCTCCCCACTCAATTAAATAATAAAATATGCAGCTTAGTTCTTTGAAAGTTCTCAAATGTAAGTAGGACAGATAGGCAAAAGCATTCTGTGTTCTCCAACTTGAAGAAAAGACAACTTGAAATTTGAAAGTGATCACTATGTTGCAACAAGAGTTTCAGGGAGGGGAAAGGTAACTCCAACTGCTCACAGTTGAGAGAAGCTCCGTTTTTTTCCTTTCCTCCATTCTCTCATGTCCCAGCCCTAGATATGCCCATGACAGTGAGGGTGGTTGGCTAGAGAAGCCTACAGGAGCCGAAAGTGAGGCAAGGGGATTACCTTACATGTTGCATTACCTTACATGTGGTACATTTGTGGCAGTTGACAGTTTTCTGATAGAGAACCAAAACTGGAAGAGCTCACAAAACTGGAAAATTGAGAGCAATAAGAGATACATAAGATCTCAGAAAAGTAAACCTACAAAGCTGCCCACGAATTCCTGGATTCCCACCCAACATGCACCTGCTAGGAGAAAACTGAGAACTGAGACTTCCACTGAGCCACCAAACTAAGCACTGGGTGTTCACAGGGTGGACGAGGACAACACAAATGGCACAACAAAAACTTGAAAAATTGAACTGACCCTAGAACCACAGCCGACGCAATTCTTTAAAACATGTCTGATGATTGAAAGAATATTGTGTGATGGAGTTTTCAATGTATGTAGGTATAATATATAAAACAAAAGGAGTGCAATAGAAGGAAAGTAAAAGGAAATTCGTGGGTTCCATTCAAATTCATTCCAATGAGTGGATGGCAAGACACTGGTTCCCCATAAACAGTGAAAAGTTAAGAATATATTTTGTAATCCTTAGAGCAACCAATAAAATATTATACAAATGAATATAACAAAAATTTAATAAACAAATTGGAATGCTTAAATAACTCAAAAGAAAGCTGATAACGGGAAAGACAGAGAAAATCAGAGAGAAGGGAGAAAAAGTATAGTAAGATGATAGGCTTATGTTTAAACATATCAATAATTACATTAGATGCAAATTATCTAAACACGCGACAGTGATACCTTGGTTATTGCACAGCTCCAAGCCTACTGAAACAGCAAAATCAGAAAAACATTGCTTGGTGTTCTTACTTTGCTTGATACTCAAACCATAAATTCGACATGAATAAACCTGTCTGGCCAGGAGTGAGTCATACATAGCATCTTGTTGGGAACACAAGGGAATGATGCTTCAGTCTAAGCACCACTCTGGCCCAGACAGCACTGCGTTAAACATTCATCATTGTGCTTTAATTTTATACTTTATTTGCATAAAATATCATAACCATAGCTTCAAAGAAAGTTAATAATACCAGTAGTAAAGCTAAGAGGAAAACAGAACCATGATAAAGTTAAAAGAAGAAATCATTGTGAAATTTGATAAAGTCTTGGAAAAATGAATTTATAAGTGTAATTTTTCGGCCTCAGAACCAAATATTTGGTTTTCCATTATTTCTTATGGGAAAAATTATGTTCAGTTTTTGAACTTTTTGGTGTTTAAACACCAATTTGGAGTGAATTATAGCCAACAACTGAGGTATCACTGTTATTAAAAATAAAGCTTAGCATAGTGGATTTTAAAAAAAGCATGAAGTGATTATATTTTTATAAGGAACAACTCAAAAATAATGATATAGGTAGGTTAGAAGTATAAGGATGGGAAAGGATATATAATGCTGAGCCTGGTGTGGTGGCACACACTTGTAAACCCAGCATTTGGGAGGCTGAGGCAGAGGGATCACCGTGAATTCAAGTCCAGTCTGGACTGCATAGCAAGACCTTGTTTAAAAAGAAAGCGAGAAAGACAAGAAAGAAATAAAGGAAGGAAGGAAAGGAAAGGAAAGAAAAGAAAAGAAAAAAAAGAAAAGAAGGAAGAAAGAAAGAACCAGAGTACAATAAACCTATAACCAAAGTACTGTGGTATTGCCATAGGATTGATATATAGATCAATGGAATAGAGTTGAGAGTCCAGAAATAAACCCCTAAATTTATGGTCAATTGGTTTTTGGCAAGACCATTAAATGGAGCAAAGAATAGTTTGTTCATAGCGCTGGAACAGCTGGACATCCACATGCAAAATATTGAAGCTGGACCAGTTCCTCACACTGTATACAAAATGTATCACAAAACTTAATCAAGAATTAAAACTATACAAAATAAAAATACAATATAGGATTAGGTTTTCATAACATTGATTCAGCAATGATTTTTTAATATTGCATCAAACTTGAATTTCATAGGATTACATAAACAAGTAAAAGAACACTTGGAATGGGAGAAAATACTTGCAAATCATATCTCATAAGTGATTTATATCTAAAATATGTAAACAAATTTGAAACTCAACAATTAAGAAGATATATATATATATACTCGTTTTAAAATATGCAAAAAATCTGTATAAATATATCTCCAAAGAAAAATATTCAAATGTTCAGCAAGCACATACTAGTTAGAATGTATTGCACCAATTTAGATGCAGCTGCTTTGAAAAACACGTTGGTGGTCTTTCAAACACTTAAACACAGAATTATCATATGACCTAGTAATTCCTTGGTAGAGTCTCTCATTAAAACACCATAGAGAGTCCCAAAATAGTTGTACACAAGGATGTCCAACTGACATGGTGCAAATACAATTCAGTGAAGGGAGGATAGTCTCTTCAATAAATGATGTTGCAATAACTGGCCATTCATAGGCAAACAATGAATCTTAATCTAATCTTTACACCTTACACAATGATTATCTCAAAATAGATTGTGGATCTAAAATGTAAAATATCTATTGCACAATAGATAGTGCACTGGACTTCCAAAATGGTCGTTCAGAGCCATAAATGTTTTAGATACAGAGTAAAAATCTTCATAACCTAGGAGTAGAGAGCTCTAAAAGGACACTAAAACAATCTATTAAATATTTGATAAATTGGACTTCATCAAAATAACTTTTGTCTTATAAAAGACACTACCAAGAAAAATGAAAAAAACAGCAACATATTCAAAAAATATTTGCAAAAGTCAGTTGAAAACAGTTGTTATTCAGTGAGCTTGTACAGTAGTTTTGTTTCCTTGAGAGAAAGTGTTAATTTCACAGGTGGACTTTTCTGTGTCCTTTATCATGGCTTTATGAGTAACAGCACACATTTTTTAATTTCCTAGCCCAAGATAATTTTGGATTCTAAGTATTAAGGGTTCAGGAGAGAAAAAGAAAGGGAGAGGGTCATAAACAATAATCATGATATTCAAAATAAGCCTGAAAATGAAACTGTCCAATGAAATAAAGAAATATAATCCTAAGAAAGACAGTCCAAAATTAAAGCATGAAGCAAGCTCAC